ATGTGCATCAGCTCGGCAGTTCCTCACCAAACCAGGTTCTTAACGGTGCATCATGGCTAGCATCAGGTGCATCAGCTGGGCCGTTGCTGCCCAAACCCGGCCGTCCCTGATCAAAGCAGGTTCTTAACGGTGCATCGTGGCGAGCATCAGGTGCATCAGCTGGGCCGTTCCTGCCCAAACCAGGTTCCGAACCGCGCATCATGGCGAGCATTATGTGCATCAGCTGGGCAGTTCCAGGCAAAACCAGATTCTAAACCATGCATCATGGCGAGCATTATGTGCATCAGCTGGGCAGTTCCAGGCCACGTGGCGAGCGTCAGGTGCATCAGCTGGGCCGTTCCTGACGAAACCAGGTTCTTAACCGCGCATCATGGCCAGCATCATGTGCATCAGCTAGGGCGTTCCTGCCCAATCTGTGCATCATGGCGAGCATTATGAGCATCAGCTGAGCCGTTCCTGACCAAACCAGGTTCTCCACCGTGCATCATGGCGAGCATTATGCGCATCAGCTGGGCCGTTCCTGCCCAAACCAGATTCCGTGGCGCATCATGGCGAGCATCATGTGCATCAGCTGTGCCGTTCCTGACCATACCAGGTTCTTAACCGCGCATCATGGCGAGCATCACGTGCATCAGCTGGGCCGTCCCTGACCAAAGCAGGTTCTTAACGGTGCATCATGGCGCGCATTATGTGCATCAGCTGGGCAGTTCCTGATCAAAACAGGTTCTTAACCGTGCATCGTGGCGAGCATCAGGTGCATCAGCTGGGCCGTTGCTGCCCAAACCAGGTTTTTGGGGAGCATCATGTGCATCAGCTGGGCAATTCCTGACCAGACCAGGTTCTTAGCCGTGCATCGTGGCGAGCATCAGGTGCATCAGCTGGGCCGTTCCTGCCCAAACCAGGTTCTGAACCGCGCATCATGGCGAGCATTATGTGCATCAGCTGGGCCGTTCCTGACCAAACCAGGTTCTTAATCAGCTGGTTCCTGACCAAACCAAGTTCTTAACCGCGCATCATGGCGAGCATCATGTGCATCAGCTGGGCCGTCCCTGAACAAAGCAGGGTATTAAGGGTGCATCATGGCGAGCATCAGGTGCATCAGCTTGGCCGTTCCTGCCCAAACCAGGTTATCAACCGCGCATCATGGCTAGCATTATGTGCATCAGCTGGGCCGTTCCTGACCAAACCAGGTTCTTAACCACACTTCATGGCTTAGTTGGATCAGCTGGTTCCTGACCAAACCAGGTTCTTAACCGCGCATCATGGCGAGCATCATGCGCATCAGCTGGGCCGTCCCTAATCAAAGCAGGTTGTTTAACGGTGCATCATGGCGAGCATCATGTGCAGCAGCTGGGCCGTTCCTGACCAAACCAGGTTCTTGACGGCGCATCATGGCGAGCATCATGTGCATCAGCTGGGCCGTTCCTGACCAAACCAGGTTCTTAACCGCGCATCCTGGCGGGCATTCTGTGCATCAGGTGCGGCCGTCCCTGATCAAAGCAGGTTCTTAACGGTGCATCATGGCGAGCATCATGTGCATCAGCTGGGCAGTTCCTGACCGAGACAGGTTTTTAACCGTGCATCGTGGCGAGCATCAGGTGCATCAGCTGGGCCGTTCCTGCCCAAACCAGGTTCTTGGCGAGCATCATGTGCATCAGCTGGGCAATTCCTGACCAGACCAGGTTCTTAACCGTGCATCAGCTGGGCCGTTCCTGCCCAAACCAGGTTCTTGGCGAGTATCATGTGCATCAGCTGGGCAATTCCTGACCAGACCAGGTTCTTAGCCGTGCATGGTGGCGAGCATCAGGTGCATCAGCTGGGCCGTTCCTGACCAAACCAGGTTCTTCACTGCGCATCCTGGCGTATGTGGATCAGCTGGTTCTTGACCAAACCAGGTTCTTAACCGTGCATCATGGCGAGCATCATGTGCATCAGCTGGGCCGTCCCTGATCAAAGCAGGTTCTTAACGGTGCATCATGGCGAGCATTATGTGCATGAGCTGGGCAATTCCTGACCGAAACAGGTTTTTAACCGTGCATCGTGGCGAGCATCAGGTGCATCAGCTGGGCCGTCCATGACCAAAGCAGGTTCTTAACGGTGCATCATGGCGAGCATTATGTGCATGAGCTGGGCAATTCCTGACCAAAACAGGTTCTTAGCCGTGCATCGTGGCGAGCATCAGGTGCATCAGGTGCATCAGCTGGGCCGTTCCTGCCCAAACTAGGTTCTTGGCGAGCATCATGTGCATCAGCTGGGCAATTCCTGACCAGACCAGGTTCTCCACCGTGCATCGTGGCGAGCATCAGGTGCATCAGCTGGGCCGTTCCTGCCCAAACCAGGTTCTCAAACGCGCATCATGGCGAGCATTATGTGCATCAGCTGGGCCGTTCCTGACCAAATCAGGTTCTTAATCAGCTGGTTCCTGACCAAACCTCACATCATGGCGAGCATCATGTGCATCAGCTGGGCCGTCCCTGAACAAAGCAGGGTGTTAACGGTGCATCATGGCGAGCATCATGTGCAGCAGCTGGGCCGTTCCTGACCAAACCAGGTTCTTGACGGCGCATCATGGCGAGCATCATGTGCATCAGCTGGGCCGTCCCTGACCAAAGCAGGTTCTAAACGGTGATGGCGAGCATTATGTGCATCAGCTTGGCCGTTCCTGACCAAACCAGGTTCTTCACCGCGCACCCTGGCGGGCATTCTGTGCATCAGGTGCGGCCTTCCCTGATCAAAGCAGGTCCTTAGCAGTGCATCATGATGTGCATCAGCTGGGCAGATCCTGACCAAAGCAGGTTCTTAACGGTGCATCATGGCGCGCATTATGTGCATCAGCTGGGCAGTTCCTGACCAAAACAGGTTCTTAACCGTGCATCGTGGCGAGCATCAGGTGCATCAGCTGGGCCGTTGCTGCCCAAACCAGGTTCTTGGGGAGCATCATGTGCATCAGCTGGGCAATTCCTGACCAGACCAGGTTCTTAGCCGTGCATCGTGGCGAGCATCAGGTGCATCAGCTGGGCCGTTGTTGCCCAAACCAGGTTCTTGGCGAGCATCATGTGCATCAGCTGGGCAATTCCTGACCAGACCAGGTTCTTAACCGTGCATCGTGGCGAGCATCAGGTGCATCAGCGTGGCCGTTCCTGCCCAAACCAGGTTCTCAACCGCGCATCATGGCTAGCATTATGTGGATCAGCTGGGCCGTTCCTGACCAAACCAGGTTCTTAACCGCGCTTCATGGCTTATGTGGATCAGCTGGTTCCTGACCAAACCAGGTTCTTAACCTCGCATCATGGCGAGCATCATGTGCATCAGCTGGGCCGTCCCTAATCAAAGCAGGGTGTTAACGGTGCATTCTGGCGGGCATTCTGTGCATCAGTGCGGCCGTCCCTGATCAAAGCAGGTTCTTAACGGTGCATCATGGCGAGCATCATGTGCATCAGCTGGGCAGTTCCTGACCGAAACAGGTTCTTAACCGTGCATCGTGGCGAGCATCAGGTGCATCAGCTGGGCCGTCCCTGAACAAAGCAGGGTATTAACGGTGCATCATGGCGAGCATCAGGTGCATCAGCTTGGCCGTTCTTGCCCAAACCAGGTTATCAACCGCGCATCATGGCTAGCATTATGTGCATGAGCTGGGCAGTTCCTGACCAAAACAGGTTCTTAACCGTGCATCGTGGCGAGCATCAGGTGCATCAGCTGGGCCGTTCCTGCCCAAACTAGGTTCTTGGCGAGAATCATGTGCATCAGCTGGGGAATTCCTGACCAGACCAGGTTCTTAACCGTGCATCGTGGCGAGCATCAGGTGCATCAGCTGGGCCGTTCCTGCCCCAACCAGGTTCTTGGCGAGTATCATGTGCATCAGCTGGGCAATTCCTGACCAGACCAGGTTCTTAGCCGTGCATGGTGGCGAGCATCAGGTGCATCAGCTGGGCCGTTCCTGACCAAACCAGGTTCTTCACTGCGCATCCTGGCGTATGTGGATCAGCTGGTTCTTGACCAAACCAGGTTCTTAACCGCGCATCATGGCGAGCATCATGTGCATCAGCTGGGCCGTCCCTGAACAAAGCAGGTTCTTAACTGCGCATCATGGCGAGCATCATGTGCATCAGGTGGGCCGTTCCTGACCAAGCCAGGTTCTTAACTGCGCATCATGGCGAGCATTCTGTGAATCAGCTGCGGCCGTTCCTGACGAAACCAGGTTCTTAACTGTGCATCATGGCGAGCATTGGGCGGATCAGCTGTTCCGTTCCTGGCCAAACCAGGTTTGTGCTTTCGCATCAAAACAAAGCCTAATGTGCATGGAAGCGTACATGTCCGGAGCGGAGGCATACGAGCTTTGGTTGGATCACCATCCGCATTGATGGCTCCGTAATATATTATAATTGTAGTATGATAGGCCCCCAAACCCCATTCTAATTATTATGGCCGCTATATTACCGTTTCTTGCATACTCCTATGAGAATGCATTGCTTCCCAGTTCCGTTGAAGAACCCTTTTCGAACCCGCTTTAATAACTTTTTCAATATCCTTAGACTACCCAAGGACAACCCCTCCTGGATGTGCTGCACCAGCATCTTTCGTCTGACTCGCCGCAAATTTCGCCGCGACGGGCGCTTTTGAAGAGTGAATCCAGCTGCTTGGGCCGATGAAGCTCTAGGTCGCAAGGGGCTGTGGGGGCTGTGGGATTAGGGTTAAGCGTTAAAGGCGGTTTAGCGGTTTATGGTTTGAGGCTTCGGCACGTTCTTGTGTTCTTGTGGTTTCATTCTGTCAGGAGATATCGGAATGCAGTTGTGCCGTGGCCGAACCCCTAGAAGCTTCATCCAGATAGCCACAAATCTCAAAGCCCCGCGGTTCCAAATGCAAGCAAGAACTCGATACACCTATAGCCACGTGTCTGAAGACATCATGTCTCGCTCAGTTTGTTCGTGACAGTTCATGCTCATGCCTGTCACCGTCGTGTTTTCTGGAACAGCGTTCGTGATCATAGCTGTGCTGAGGCAATGACGGCGACGATGATGTTGATGTTGTTGAGGAAAAAGATATTGGTGTTGATAGGTCATGATGGTGATGTGCTGCTGCTGCTGCTGCCGATGATAATGATGATGTTGATGGTGATGGTGATGGTGGTGGTGGTGGTGGTGGTGGTGGTGGTGGTGGTGGTGACGGGCATCGCGGTGATGATGATTTCGCCGCTGATGTGGATGTTGGTCATCATTGTCCAATGCCTGATGCTGCGCGTCATCTTCATATTCTGCCCTGCAGGACTGGCTTTTGTCTCCTCGGCAAGGGTTCCAACGACTGAAGTGGCTGCAGTATAGGTATCGAGAAGAAAATGACAGCAGCAACCCATTCAGTAGATGTACGGCTTGCATTCCAGAGAGAATGCAAGAAACCCACAAATCTGCGAAGCAAGAGAAAATCATCACCTGTATGCAGCATCTAGGTGCGGTGCTTTCGAGCGTGGAGCGTGCTGCCCTGCTGTTTGCAGAGGCAGACGCTCGGAATGAACAGTGAGTTGGAGGATTTCCAAGCTCAAGCTTGTGCCCTGAACCCCTAAATCCTTATGCCCTAACCCAACGCCTACATGCACTGGGCTTCTTGTAGGCTTCTGGCTTCAGAGTGTTTTCGATTCCGTGCACCGTTTGCCAGGGAGGTGCTCTCGCTGGATATTTATTTTGTGGTGCTGACGGATGCCCGTTCTTCAGTGCCGTGTGGAGAGCTTGAGGTTGACGGTTTGCGCATATCCTTAGGATTCCGTTAAAGGGTTACTATAGTAAGGGTTCATTTGAAGGGCTCGAAAAGGGTTAATATGTTTGCGTCCCCTATTTTCGGAAACTCCCATGTTGTGGACCGTCATGCTCGAACAGACTAAATCGCTCTTTGCAAGCATGCAGTTATGTCAGACAAGTCGAAGCGCCCAGAACATTTCGTAAGGCGATTGCCGGCGCTACTGTGATTAAGTTTAGGCCCTGAAACAGTTTCGACGCCCTCGGCTGGATGGTCAATGTGTTTATGTCTGGACACATCACCTCCCGAACCCTACAGTATTCCCCCTGGGCCCTGAACCGTAACTCTTCAGTTCTAACCCCAAACCTCAGTGTATGCGAAGCGCCAACATCTCGGCCTCAGGCACGAAATCCCAGATGATCATCCTTTAAATCCTACTAGCCTGTAAGAGCAATAGAAATGCATGTTGCTTGTTGAAAGTGTGGAAAATGCCGCCCAGGCCGTAGGATTCCTCACTTGAATGGATTGCACCGTGGTGTTGCTGAAGTTTTTTTTTCGGGGACCAGCTCGTCCCCGAAAATATGGTTTGGGTGTTAAAACTGACGTTTTGGACCACACCGCGACCGCATTCTTTTCTTCGTTTGATGGAAGTGTGGAAGTGTCGTCGGAAAGTATGTTGTTTGGGAGTCCAAAAACACTCGTTTCTTCAAACTTGACAGCGAAGAAACAGCTAAAACCATGTGTGGTCTGATAGTACGAAACGGCTGTAAATACTGTGCAGAACGCAGGTGCTGCCAAGAAGGCTTTAACATTCCTAAAACCTAAAGAGCAACATCTCATAAACGTCAAAAGCAAAGATGCCAGCTGTACGCGGAAGGGGCTCCCTAAAGCCCAGACCACGGCATAGGAGGGTTTGCTTTTGAAGCAGTGTGTGGTGTGTGTGTGTGTGCGCAGGGTGTGGAGACATTGTTCGGGGTGTCCGCGAAACAATGTCGTCATCATGCCTGAGACGTAGATACGGAGAAAAACTGCAGATGTTGTTCGAAGTGTCTGCTCAAAAATATCGTCATCATCGTCCCCCCAACCCGATCCGAAATGTGTATTATTAGAACGCGTCCATCATCATCGTCGTCGTCACTATCCGCATCCAACCATGATCATCTTCCTCAAACATGGGTGGTTGTCAAAATTAGGGTCCCTTTTTGGGAACCCTAAATAGTAGGTGCCGCATTGTATTAAGGACCCAAAAATGGCCCATTTTGACAACTACCCACATGCTAAGAAGGTGGGTCCGGCAAGGGCACCGGCCTGGTAGTGGTATTGGTAGTGGTAGTGGTTGTGGTAGTGGTACGGGTAGGGGTAGAAGTAGAAGTAGTAGTAGTAGTAGTAGTAGTAGTAGTAGTAGTAGTAGTAGTAGTAGTAGTAGTAATAGTTCTACTACTACTACTACTACTACTACTTCTTCTTCTTCTCTTCCTTTTGCTTTATTGGCGGTACTGCTAGTGTGTCTTGCTGTCCAGTTTTGTCTCCGACTACTAGCATTATTGTGCTTGCTAGTTGTTTATGATCAGGTACTCTGCTGATTGCGAGGACTATCATGTTAAGCCGAACATTCACAAAGCGATTGTTGTTTATGATTTATGATCATTTTGGTGATTGTTAGAGAGATTGTCATCCTAAAACTTGCAGCCCAGGATTTCTTGCGGACCACGCGGGTGCCGGGAATTCCCGGCGCAGGGGGCTCCCTGGGGCCCGAGAGGGATGAGATGAACGCGCTCGTGCACACAGGCCTGCTTGGGGGTCTATAGAGTTTTAACAACAGTAGTAGTAGTAGTAGTAGTAGTAGTAGTAGTAGTAGTAGTAGTAGTAGTAGTAGTAGTAGTAGTAGTAGTAGTAGTAGTGGTAGTAGTAGTTGTAGTAGTAGTAGTAGTAGCAGCAGCAGCAGTGGTAGTAGTAGTCGTCGTATTAGTCATAGTCTATGTCTAGAGCCATATAGTGATTGTAACAGTAACAGTGTTTCGCGGGATTTTTGGAGAGCTGCACAAGGTGTTTCGAGGGTCTTTATCGTTTTTATTGGGCAAGTTTTGTCATCGTAGTACAGCGCAGGCTGTAGAGGATTTTTGAGGTTGTGAAGGGTGCGGGATTTTGGGTTTAGGGCCAGTTTAGGTAGGGTTTTAGGGTTCGAGGGTTTAAACTGTTAAGGTTTTGGGGTTTGGACGTATATAGGAAGGATTTCAGGCTTGGGCGATCTGGAAAACTGTAACCAGACCCTGAATGATCGGACTCCTGTTATTTATGCGGATCTCGACGTTGGAGACACCACGTTTGAGAAACCTTTAGCGGATTAGGGTCCGCGGGGACACTTGCAAAGCCGTACAAAAACATAACAACCGTTACAGAGCCTTAATACATCCACATAAAACTGAAGAAGTCAGAAAGACGTAATTAGCCGGTTTCCGTTGTTGAGCTAGATTTGGTAGGGTGCTAGAAGCCATGATTGGAAGTTTGTCGTCGGGTTTAGGGTTTAGGGGTTAGAGTTTAGCGGTTAGAGTTTTAGGGTTTCGGGTTTAGGGTTTTAGGGGTTTTAGGGTATAGGGCTTTAGAGTTTAGGATTTAGGGTTTTAGGGTCTAGGGTTTCAATTTTTCAGAGGGTTTTAGGCCAAAAAGTAGAGTCGAGGACTCAAGCGCTTTTTGATTTGATTTTGACAGAGTTTGCTGAAGCTGCACGCCGGTCTAGGGGTACATTAACATGAACTGTACATATGTACGCATGCATCCACATGTACACGCATTCGCATATTGTATCCTCGTCAAAGATGCAGGTTGTTGCTGTGGGTTGGGGTTGTCATGGTTTTGGGGTGCAGGGCCTTTAGGATTGGAGGCTTTCGCTGGCATCCTTCCTTCGGGTTGTCGGTTTGGCGGTGCCTCATTTTATGACAACCTCGGGGCTACGGCCGAAGCGCGAAGCTTCCCAACAGGCCCCTGTATCCATGCCCAATGGAAGCCATAAAAGCCTCAATGAATCGTTTGCCCTGAGTAAATAAACAAGATCTGAAGTTTCAAGCACAGGATTAAAATCATTGATGAAAGCCACGAAGACCCTCCAAAACTGCTCAACCTTGAATTCTAAACCCTAAACTGCACAAGCTCGCTGCTCGTTTCTCGTGTGAGGCCAAAGATTCCTGGTGCAAGCGTACCGCCAGACAAAGGTGGGGACTTGTTTTTACATGTCGGATTTCTGGTTTAGGCTTGGGTTGAGGGATTAGGAACTACATAGTTCAGGGTTCAGCAGGTTGATATTGAGCGATCAGGGGTTGAGATCGCTACTGACCTTGCTGTATCATGACAGGCTTCCACGGATACTTCCGGACAACCCAGCGAATCGCACGAACACCCGTAGGCCTCACCCGAAACCCCAGTAAAGCCTCAACCTTTGGGGTGGAGGGTCTAGCGTCGGCGGTTACGGGCTGGTGAGCCCCTGGATCCTATTCTCGTGTTCACCTGAGTCTTCTGTGAATCCCCGCCATGCCTTAAGACTTTGGACTACCCCAAGTCTCTCAAAGCAACCTTACAAACCCTACACTCCAAGCCCTACAAGCTCGGCCAGCCGGGAGTTAAACCCTAAACCCGAAACGTTGTCAGGCCTCTGGATCATGCAGCGACACGCAAAAGAGAGCCTTAAAGACCCTGCCCTAAACCCCAAACCCAAAACCCTGCCTTAAACCTTAGACGCTGAACCCTAAACCGAAATCCTAAACCCTAAACCGTAAACCCAAACCCAAACCCAGGCCTCTGCGCCTGCCCATATGACGGACCTCTACGGACTCTTCATGGTCCTCGTCCGGACACCGGTCGCCAGGCCTCAGTTGGGAGGAGAGCAGCTTAGGTCCCCAGCAATCCTTAACCATAACGTAGTATGGTATAGCCACGTATCGTCGAGTATAGTACTTAACTATAGTACAACATAATATAATACAACATGGTACTATATCAAATAAGATCATAGAATATACACTTACTACGATATGATACAATATAACATCATCATATAATATGATATGATATAATATACTGCAGTTTATTACAGTTTAAGTAGACTGTTATAGTGCAGCAATAGTACAACATGATATGATAGAACAATTAGAAGCTATAATCTACATAATATGTTTGAAGCCACATTTAAGTCCTTAACCCTACTACTAACACCGAAACCGAGGCCCTGAACCTAAAGCCCACTATCCGAGAGCTCAAAACAGTAGCTAAACCTCCTAGGGCTTCGGGTTAGGGTTTAGGGTTTAGGGCTTTGGGTTTAGGGTTTTCCCAGCCACAGCATCGTAATCGAAGTTTGGCTCCTTCTATTCGGAACTATGGTTTTTACAGAGTAGTTTTTGCTTGTTAGGTGTGGGCTTAGGGTCGAAAGAATCTTTATAGAATTGCAGCCCCACAGCCACAAACACCAAGCCAGCTGGCACCTTCCTAGGTGCCACTTTTCGAACTACTTGATCGGCTGGACAGCCAGGCGGCAGAATTTCTGGGACAGAATAGAACAGGAGCCTGATTAATAGGACATGGTATCCCCTTATGCCCCCTTTCCAAATTTTAAAATACCCCAAACTTAAATCTAGTTGTTGAGACCCCCACCCCCTAACATTATACTTGCACTGGGCTCATGGAAGGCTCAGGTCCCAACCCTAAACAGAAACTTCCCTGAACCTACCATCCTAAACCTGAGCCCCAAAGCCCAAAAAACTCCCCAAACCTTTTGGACTCCCATATGGGAGTCTCCAAAACTAGGCTACCCCAATATAAAAAATGGGCCTCAAAACCCATTTCTAGTTATTAACGCCCCTATAGTAAACAGTTGCACTAACACCAAAGAAACTGACCTGCAACAATCTCCCCTTGCAGCTCCTACATAACCGATTATACAATGTTCAGTGCCCCCCGTTAGAGGTTCTTCAAGACGAGGTAGCATAGGAGGCCAAAAGGGGTTTTAGCCTATGGGGGTTTAGTAGAGATTAGGGTTCCCATAATAGGGCTCATATTAAGGAATCCCTAAACCCAAGAGTCTTAAACCCCCCTTCTGGCCTCCCATCAAGAGGGTTTCAGCAGCTGAACAGGTGTTGGAGTCGATTCACCTCAAGGTGACCTGGCCAGCTGATTTTAGGACTTTTGGGTTTAGGGATACGTACTGCCGTGAAGGATGTTGGGCTTCTAAGAGGCTTTACTGCCTTTTGGTTTTTAGGGTTCATTCCGGTCTTGGGATTGGGGTGTATAGTTTTGGGGCCAAAGCCAGTGGCAGCATCGATTTTTGTGACAAGCAGTGAGATAAATCTTCGCCGTAGCGATACAACGACTCAGACATTACTGCTACAAGTAGGGTTTTTAGGGTTTAGGGGTTTAGGGTTTAAGGTGCCCCCCTTCCCCAGCAATGTCCCTACGCTCCACAACATGGCAAACCCCAAAACCAAGGACTCGCTGACACATCCTGATGCGCCCTTCTACGTGCATGTGCTGCCGACCCCGAACCTAGACCGTCCTTGAGCATAGTCTCGTTCGTTTTAAATTCAGAAGGTTCGCATTTACTTCGGCTCTTAAAGGAAGAGCGGGAAATCATCGTTACTTTTCTATGAAGAGCTGAGGAACGTGGAGTCCAACCACGTCAGGTCCTTCTACGACCTGCACTGCGCGACTCAATCAGATCTACTCTTGGAAGGCCTAAACAATCCTGCAGACCCTACCCAGCCTTTCCGTTCTCCTCGATTTCGTGCAATATTCCTGAGCCGTTGACCCTACATAAACTTGAAACGCTCGCCTCAACTCAATCCCTGAATTAAGAGATTTTGAGGCTCTGGTTAAACCTCAGCAGCCGTTGGTTGCCAGTGGAGCACGAAATCTGATCGCTCGACCAAGGGCTTTAAATCAAAAGGAGTGGTGTGGGGTTTTGTGAGGGCTCTAAACTGCCGGAACCCTGAAACCTTGTAAGCTTGTGATCGCTTTTACCTATGTTGACTGCCATGTTTTGGATGGGGATCCGTATTATAATCATAGTACATTATAACCCAAAACCCTATTCTAAATACTATCCTTATAGTAGCCCTTATAGACCCCTTGAAAGGAACCCTATCCTAATGATTAAGGCACCCGATGGGGGGTATGAAGGCCCCTACATCCCACTCCGCGAAACTCAAACCTTCATCTCAGAGACTCCAATATGGGAGCTTCCGAAAATTAGGGGTACCTTATTTGGGGTCCTTATAATAAGGATTCTACTATTTGGGGTACTATATTTGGGTCCCCTATTTTGGGAAACTCCCATATCCCTTAATGAATGAATATAAACCCTATCGTATAGCCCGTATTTAATGAAGGAATACACCTTAAACCAAAGCAGGCCCCCTAGATATGATTTAACGCATATTCCTTAAGTAAAGGATAATCGTAGTAGGCGCCCTAAATTGGTTTAAGGCATATTCCCTAATCAAGGGATGTTGCTTTGAGGATCATGGGACTTAGTAAGTAAGGTTATAAGTACCTTAATTGGGGTTATAAGTATGGTTACCCTAATTATAACCCTAGTTGCAAAGTCCCATGATCCTTTAAGTAGACCCTAAAATCTTCTTATAATAGAACCCCTATAAAGGAGCCCTTTAAAACATAACCCAAGTTACTAAATCCCATGATCCTTTAAGTACCCTAAACCCTTCTAGATCCATTGTAGAACCCTTTAAGGAACCCTTGTAGATCCCTTTAAGGAACCCTTGTAGATCCCTTTAAGTGGAGCCCTCTACGATCTGAGGATGCTCAGTACAAGGGCTTGGTCTCAGAGCACCAGGAGATAGCCGGGCTCTGATCTTTGGGAGTTTCCGAGTATGGGGGACCTAATGTAGTCCGCTAAATAGTAGGATCCTTCTTATAAGGACCCCAAATTAAGGTACCGCAAATTTGCAGAAACTCCTATTTCATGCCAACCAATGACAGTTTTCGTGAATTATCACCATTGGGTACTTCTTTTGGGTAGCCTGGATTGGTCTGCATGGTTGGGGGGTGGCTCCTCACACTCGTCCTTGTGCTGCCGCTGCTGATTCCTTCAAAGCATCTCAATCTCGAGCACGACTGCGATTCCAGCTGCTGCTAGCTATTACTCGTAGTTGGTAGTTAGTAGTTAGCATTCAGCAGCTTACTCATTGCTGCCATGGTTCCAGTAGTAGTAGTAGTAGTAGTAGTAGTAGTAGTAGTAGTAGTAGTAGTTGTTGTTGTTGTTGTTGTTGTTGTTGTTGTTGTTGTTGTTGTTGTTGTTGTTGTTGTTGTTGTTGTTGTTGTTGTTGTTGTTGTTGTTGTTGTTGTTGTTGTTGTTGTAGTTGTAGTAGTTGTAGTACTACTACTACTACTACTACTACTACTACTACTACTACTACTACTACTACTACTGCTGCTGTAGCTGCTGGTACTACTTCTACTGCTGCTCCTGCCCCTGCTCCCGCTCCTACTTCTACTCCTACCCCTGCTCCTACTCTCAGACAGTCCTATTCCCACTCCTGCTCCTCCTCCTCCTCCTCCTCCTCCTCCTGTTCCTACTCTTACTCTTACTCTCACGGCTACTCTCTCTCCTACCCTCACTCCTACTCCCACTCCTGCTCCTACTCCTAGTCCTTCTCCAACTCCGACTCCCACTCCGACTCCTGCTCCTGCGACTGCTTCTGCTCCTGCGGCTGCGTCTGCTCCTGCTGCTGCTGCTGCTGCTGCTGCTGCTGCTGCTGCTGCTGCTGCTGCTGCTTACTACTTACTGCTACTACTGCTACGACGGCGACTGCTGCCTACTACTACTACTACTACTACTACTACTACGACGACGACGAGGACTGCAACTCGTTGCCACCGCCGGCGCCGCCACCACCACCACCACCACCACCACCAACAACAACAACAGCAGCAGCAACAACAACAACAACGCCACGACACAGACGACGGCGATGACGACGACGACTGTTGCAGATGCTGTTGCCACAACAGCAACAACAATCAAGATGATTACTGCCAGTACCGCCGCTCCTCGTCGTTCTCAGACTAAGCCATGACAGACAGGAGGCACATCGGCCCCTGACCATCGTGGAAGTGGGGACGCACCTGGGAGGTCCTCGACTGCTGTAAACCCTGGGCTTTAGGATGTAGGGTTTGGGGTTCTGGGTGGTGTAATGTGGGGTTTGAATATGTTTGCATGCGTTGCTTTAGTTTCGGGCAAGTGGGTTTTGGGATGTGCGGCTTAAGCCGGCGACCCGTAAGCTAGGAGACGGAGAGAGCTCCTCAAGCCACAATCTTGGACTGTGCTTCCCAAAGGGCCCACGTATCATTATGATATATACTTAGACCCCAAAATACCCTATAAGTATATACCAGAATGATACTTGGACCGTTTGGACTTCGATACTTGGACCCTTGCGCTTCGATACTTGGACCCTTTGGGCTTCGATACTTGGACCCTTTGGGCTTCGTAGTTTTACTACTATCATGCTTGCTTGTATTTGCTGCGGGCAGCCTGCCCAAAGTGTGCTTCCACCACAGTCCCTTTGCACTTCCTGGGGTGCCAGGCATGCTCTTGCCGCAGCATGCGCTGCTGCCGTGATTCCAAGTTGCGTTTCGACCTGCCATTCAAAATTTACATCGTCATTGAAGCATTATTGGTAGTACTGGCAGCCCTCTTGGTCAGAAAGACCAATGACATGTCTGATGAAAGAGCTTGTTAGGCGCTCCCATATGTACCAAAGTCCCAGCATAAGTTAGGATAATTTGGGCGGTATGGTAGTCATGCTACATTGCCTGCCTTGTTCTGCTGAAGTTATCAGTTTTTGCTTTTAGCTGCGGCGTTCTGAGGCCTTAATTACTTCAGTCTACCCGCATGTGCAGTAGCAGGATAGTTGCGCTTTCTGAAGCCGCGGTATTTGTGAGAGTAAGGTGTGCAGGTACAAGCAGCATGGCAGGGTCCCTAGTCGTGCTGGTGGTAGTGGTAGTCGTCGTCGTCGCGGTCGTCGTCGTCGTCGTCGCAGTTGTAGCTGTAGCCGTAGCCGGGCGTAGTAGTAGTTGTAGTAGTAGTAGTAGTAGTCGTAGTAGTAGTAGTAGTCGTAGTAGTAGTAGTAGTAGTAGTAGTAGCAGCAGTAGTAGTAGTAGCAGTAGTGGTAGTAGTAGTAGTAGTAGTAGTAGTAGTAGTAGAAGTAGTAGTAGTAGTAGTAGCAGTAGTGGTAGTAGTAGTAGTAGTAGTGGTGGTAGTAGCAATAGTGGTAGCAGCGGTACGTAGCCGTAGCGTGGTAGCAGCGGTACGTAGCCGTAGCAGTACGCAGCCGTAGCCGTAGTCGCAGTTGTAGTCGTGGCCGTAGTCGTAGTCGTTGGGAGTAGTGTAGCAATAGAATCGAAGTAGTGTAGCAGCAGTAGCAGTAGTGGTAGTGGCCAGCCAGATAAGTAACCATTACATATCTAGAGTAGCACAGGCTGCGTGCTCTGGGCCATGACGCATCTGCCCCGACAGACGGGGCCTCAGGAACAAACCTCTGCTTGCCACAAAGATTTTGGCAGGTGGTGGCAATTTCGTTAAAGCGAGCGCTTGCTTTGGAAACAGCAAGAAGGGAATCGGAGGCCTCCAAAGGTGGGATGAAGGTAGGTGGGATATTCCCAAATAAGAGTCCTTATCTAAGGGATTCTTAATCCTACCTACCTTCATCCCACCTTTTGAGGCCTCCGAGGGAAGAGTTGTCGTCCGGTATGTCCCATGGAAGCATGCCGTGACGCAGCCGCTGTTTTGTGGTTTTGTGGTCGTTCGTGGTTTTCCAGATAGTGCTGGTTGAGTGATGGCCGAAAGCCTTTGCGTGTGTGCATGTGTGTTACATGCACAACAGCAAAGTCAGCTATGTAAACTTTACGATTGCTTTCGACAAGAGTGGCTCGTTGTGTTACCAACTTTGTTCCTACTATGTTCGTGTCAACAAGTGCCGCAGATTTGAAAAGACTCTATCCTTTTGCAATCTCATGACCTGCAGTACTAGCGACTGAAGGGAGATGAGTTTCTCTGCTTTCAAAAACAACTACGGCTACGGCTACACGACGACGAGTGTTGCTTATACTCCTACTCCTGCTCCTGTTTCTGCGCCCACTCCCGCTCCCACTCCTCCTCCTCCTCCTCCTCCTCCTCCTCTTCGTCCTTCTCGTCTTCCTCCTCCCGCTCCGCTACCACTACCGCTGTCCCGCTATACCGCTGCACCGCTACCCCGCCACCCCGCCACCGCTACCGCTACTACTGCTGCTCCTCCTGAGGTTCTGGTCCAGCTCCTGGCCCTGCTGCTCCTGCTGCTGCTGCTGCTGCGGCTGACGCTAACACTGCCACTACGACTGCGACGACCATGCCTACAAATGCTGCTGCTGCTGCTGCTGCTGCTGCTGCTGCTGCTGCTGCTATTGCTGCTGCTTCCACTTAGTCTTACAGATGGGACCTACATGGTTACCACAGCATGGCATGGACAGTTTTAATAATCAAAGATGACAAGCAATGTCGTTACTAACACCAGCTTCATTGGCAATTACATGCATGCTGAAATTGCCGTGCTCCAAAGGCCGTTCTTGCATGAGTAGTCTCATCATTACTCGTCCTTCCGATCTCCTGCCTCTTAAGCGCAGCAAGACAAGAGGAAGGATATTGACCTCCTTCCCCAAACCCTACTTGGAGGATCATGGGACTTAGTAAGTAAGTTTATAAGTACCTTAATTGGGGTTTCAGTATAGTTATCCTAATTATAGCCCTAGTTACTAAGTCCCATGATCCTTGAAGTAGACCCTAAAACCCCTCTTATGATAGAACCCCTATAGATCCCCTTTAAAGGAGCCCTTTAAGGAACCCTAGTTACTAAGTCCCATGATCCTTTAAGTATACCCTTAACCGCAGACCCCAATGCTACACCCCAGACATCCCTGGACCCTGCGCTGAACCTGCAACCCTCAACCCAAACTCTACGAACAAACGGTTTAGGGTTTAGGGTTTAGGGTTTAGGGTTTAGGGTTTAGGGTTTAGGGCTTAGGGCCATTATGGCTGGAGTAGGGTGGCGGCGTTGATTGTAGTATACGTATGAAGGAACCCTTCAGGAGTTGTACTGGTCAGAGTTCAGGCCCCAAAGCTCAACCCGGAACCGCCAGAAAGCTTTTGTCCCAGGACACGTGCTCTGGCAATCGATGCATACGGGCCGGCAGTTGCGGCTCTGAGACGCACAGTTGAGGCGAATGGCTTTACAGCGACTCAGTCTCAGTTTCGGGGGCTTTCGGGTTTCGGGCTCATGGATGTAGGGTTCAAGGGCTCAGGGTTACCGGATCGAGTTTCTGGTTTCGAAACAAGATTCACTAAGGTTTGGGGGGGTAAGGATCAAGTGTTTAGGGCCTTCGGTATTGCTTATGGTTTGGGTTTGGGTTTTGAGGGTTAGACCGAGTATTTCGGGTCGCCGTTCTTAGTGTTGAGGGTATCGAAATATGCGCGTGATGACATCGCCAAAGGCAGTTTGGCATGACTGTTCTGTTGCTACCATTGGGTTCTTTTCTTCTTGGTCGGCTGGCTGCAACTACACAGTAGCATTCGGATTGCGACGGTTTGTATTTGTTGGATTCAGGGACCATGACAGTATCACGCCAAGCATCACAAGCCGAGTCAGATGCATCCTGGCGGCGAGGACAGAGGTTTAGTGTGCAACATGGGGGTTCCTTGTTATAGTAATATATAGTTATAGTTTAGTGGGCCCCAAAACTCTATTCTAATTATTCATTAAGTGTTGGAGATGAATAGGGCTGAATAGGTTCATGGCTGCTTGTAAGGACAGGATGGCGGTGGTGGAGAGGTTTATCTGCCCCGAGAAGAGATTCGTGGGCAGCAGTCAGTGTCGTTGCTCTTAGAGCCGGTTGCCACTGCTGCTGGTGCTGGTGCTGGGTTGTGGTTGTGGTCTTCGTCGTCGTTGTTGTGGTTGTTGTGGTTGTTGTGGTTGTTGTTGTGGTTGTTGTGGTTGTGGTTGTTGTTGTTGCTGTCGGTACTGAGACGAAAAGTCATCAGGACAAAAGTCAAGATTGCTGCTAAGGTGATTGTTGGTGCTACTTGTTGCCAGAATAGTCGTGAGCCATTTTGCTTCCACGTGGGTGTAGATTTCTGGGAGCGTCGTTGCCAAGGAAAGTTCCAGGTCTCTTTGAGGCAGACCGGAACATCCCTCGTGCAGCCCTCCTGGTCTGAGGCAGTCTGGGGAGCACCCTTTCTTTTAGCAGTGATAGTAGTTGTAATAGTACAATCCAGAATAGTCGTATCATTGCGCAGCAGCAAGAATAGACACTTGCTAGACAAATCGAACGGTCTCAAGAGTAGCAAGCAGCAAGAGTCATGACCAATTGAATGAAGAACACGAATCTTCATAATTTGCGGATACCGACTACAATCGCTGAGTTTTGCTTGCAGACGGCAAGAATGACACAGCCTATTGAAACGAGTGTGGATATGTCCCTGTCTCGAGCATCCGTGCTGCCAGGCAACAGAGGAATCCTCGCAGACCGTCGCGGCTTAGCTGCCTCAACATGTCGTCTATCAAGTCACTTTTGGATGGCCCCAGCCTGCTCCGTGTCGAGCTAGCTGCGATAGTTGCGAAGCCCCCAGAACCCCATGCCGCATGCGTCCCCAACTGGAGGCTGTAACCTGAACATGCAAAACAGAAACCCTGATGAATCTGTTCGCCAAAGGAGTGTTCCAGCCTCGAGAGCGTGTTGGAGGAGCACTCCATTGCCGAGGCTCGAGAAACAGTCCACCAGCTCGTCAGCACGGTGGGTAGGCCTTGTGCAATTAGCCATAATTGCCATCATCTTGCCCGGAATCACTCTTGTCATTAACTAACCATTGATATTGGAGGAGCTAAGGAGCCAGGGATGATGATAATCCCTATTAAATAAGGAGCTAAAGAGCCAAGGGAACCCCAAAACCACCGTTCCCTTACCGATATGTTTGCTCTTCGACCTACAAGTCAAGGCCTGAACGCTGGAATTGAGAGACGTTTCAAAGCACACGCAGGACCGTCGAGGGTTCACGGTTCTGTCATCGTCATCAAGCCCCACTACACTTGTACTGTGTACTAGTACAGCACAGGGCTTTCTCAGCTGATTGATGCCGGTGTCGTTCTTGCTCTCCACATTCATAGTAATTTAGTACTTTAATTGGACCCCAATGTATGCCCCCTGTGCAACTACTCTGACGTCTATCGTAGGACTTAGTGAGCCAAGCGACCTCCTAAACCCGAACTCCCAAACAGGTAGTAACTGTCCGAAACCTTAACTCCCAAACCTAGAGCCGAACCAGTACACTTAAATCCTGAGCCCCAAATACCTATAGGTTTCGGGTTTAGGGTACTGGTTTGGTGTTTGGGGTCTAAAGTCTCCATCCCGCAACCCTAAACCCAGAAGAAAACCCAGGACATCAAAAAGAGAGCCCACGACATCAACAAGAAAAGCCCCAAGATCCACCGGTCAGGTATTCTAGTGCTTACCCTGAACCGCTTAGTGTAAGCGGGTGCACGGTGGGCTCTCAGCGAAGACTGGTGAGTTGAGTTGTGTATGTGTCCGTTTGGGGCGATACTCGCGATGCCATGTCTACTTTTCTTGAACTCTGAGCAGTTCATGGAGCCGTGAGGGTCCTTAGGAAACCCTGTACCTGTGGATCCAAAAACCTACCGTTTTCAGGGTCAGACCCTCTAATTAAGGGGTCATAACCTACTATTTTGTAGGGTTTGGGGATACAGGTAGCCGCTTTAGACGAAACTGCATTACACCTTTTGAGACCTTGAAGACCATATTTCAGGTGGACCTCATGCGCATCCACGTCTTGGGCCGGGAGTATGATGCCCTCCGCTCCGCCGAGAGCTTTCTCCAGACGGCCAAGGCGGAGAGATTAGTGTTTAGGGCTTAGGGGCTTTATCTTTCATAGGTTGTAAACGGGTCTTAATAGATGGTGCCTTAAGCTCAGTGTTGTAAAGGGTCCCACGTGGGGTGTACTTGTGCTTGTGTGATTAGGGTCTGTAAGGTTGCAGTGTTTGGGGCGTCAGGGCTGAGAGTGCAGGGGAAATCGGGTTTCAGTGTTTAGAATCCAGAGACATTCAGGGGTTAGTTTGTTCTACATTTCCCAGGCTTGCAGCCCCTAAACCCTAAATCCTAAACCCTAAACCCTAAATCCTAAACCCTAAATCCTAAACCCTAAACCCTAAACCCTAAACCCTAAATCCCCTAAACCCTAAACCCTACTGCGGAGGTTCTGAAGATCGGGCGCTTCAGGAGTTCAGGGCTTTGGGGCTTTAGGGTGTTCAAGGACTTGGCACAGAGTTGCGGAGTTTTAGGGTTTAGGGTTTAGGGTTTAGGGTTTAGGGTTTAGGGTTTAGGGTTTAGGGTTTAGGGTTTAGGGATAGGGCTTCGACAGAGCCCGTAGAAGCTGCTTGTACAAGGATGATGGAGTAGGAGGGTTGAAGAGATTTTCGTGGTGTCTCTAGAGTAACCAGAGCTCTACAGGCTTCATAAATGCGGCTTGGGATTAAAGCTTAAGCCAAGAAGACCCTTTCAAGCCTGTTCCTGGGGTGGCATCGCAACATCATGTCATGAAGGTTCGTTATTGTCCATAAGTCTCACATCCTGGACCCTCAGATTCCGGGGAAGACTGGGAAGATGTAAGCCTCCAAGCCCGCGCTGTCGTCCCCGGTCGTCCCCTAGTGTTCGAACCCAAGAGATGCCTCTAAGTTCTTTTTGGCGCAAGCTTAAGGGGTTAGGGTTCAGTTTGGGTTTAGGGTTTGGGGCCGTTTAGGGTTTTGCTGCATGTGAAGATTCTCACGATGAGTGGAGCTTTAGCTGGAAGGTTGTGTCCTCATTGAGGCCCTCTGATCTGATTTATGGTCACTACTACTACTACTACTACGAAGAAGAAGAAGACGAAGAAGAAGAAGACGAAGAAGAAGAAGACGAAGAAGAAGAAGAAGGGTGTTTTTCGCTCACGCAAGGCTTCTTACCATGATCCGAAACTCCCTAAGTCCTAAAACCCTAAAGCTCCAAAACCCTGCACCCACTAAACCGCAAAACCCTGCAACCCCGAAGGCGAGCACGCGCCTTGTTCTTTAAAGGAGCCCATAAGGCAAAAAACAGAAGGCGAATCTGAGGCTAGGATGCCCAGTAGTACCCTTATTCCCTTTTTGTAGTCCTAGGTTCCTTATAAAGTTACCCAATACCAAAAGGAGAGGCCTTTTTATTCTTAGGTTACTGGGCATCCTAAACCCTAAACCCTAAACCCTAAACCCTAAACCCTAACCCTAAACCCTAAACCCTAACCCTAACCCTAAACCCTAAACCCCAAACGGGTATCCTAGGAGGGGTGTCGGGGATCTTTCGGAAGGTGAAGGTCCTGGCCCTCTCCGTCACGCATGGGAACACCAACCCTGGCGAGATGGTGGGGAGCTGTGCGCGGAGAGTTTTGGGGCTTTACCCTTTGGGGTTTAGGATGTAGTGTTTAGGGTTTAGGATTTAGGGTTCAGGGTTTAGTGTTTAGGGTTGAGGGGGGTGTTTATAGGGTTTGGGGCTTTTGGAGTCCGGGCTTTAGTGTTCAGGGTAGGGCACAGGGGCCTGAAGAGTTAGGAGAATTCCTTAGCCTTCAAGTGGGACCCTTTTTTCCTTTATGTTTTCCGGTGTTGTTCGGTTTGTTTGTGTAGGATCGTAGAGATAAGCCCCTTATTCTCCGAACCCCCTGAACGTTTTGCCCTGCCCTGCTTCTCCTCTGCCGTATCGGCTCCACCCGTTGATGGTGGAGTTCTTTTTGCCGGGGCCCTCAGACGCTTTTGTGTTACTCTTTCGGGGTCAGAGTTTGAGGGACAGCTGGGGAGTGATTACGAGACAGACAGACAAACAAAGAGCGAGAGAGAGATAGAGAGAGAGAGAGAGAGACAGAGCGAGCGGGAGAGGAGGGAGGGAGGGAGGGAGGGAGGGAGAGACAGAGAAAGATTGAGCTGGTAACAAAATATATTATTAGGTAAGGAGAAAGAGAGAGCGAGAGAGAGAGAGAGGCAGCGCTTCGAATGATGTGACGGAGGAAGGCAAGAGAAAGCAGAGGGCCTCAGCACTGCAGAAGTGCTGGGGGGCCACAGCACTGAACAAGTGCTGTACCAGGGGGTGGATTTAGGTGTTTGGCGGTAATAGAGAAGGTTCGGGGTGATTGTTGTGGCCTGTTGTTTGGAGGTTCAAGGGTAGTTCTTATAAGTCCCTGAATATTACAAGAATAGGGGCGATAATTGTAAGGAGCTACCCTACTTCTAGCCCTACGGATACGTGTATGTTTGGAATTCGGGAATCAAGGTTGAGCTCAGGGGGCCGGTAATTAAATTAGACTTGCTACTTGCGACTCAGCAACACTTAACTCTGACAGCAAGCAACCTTGCAACCGCAAATCCACCCCCAAAAAAAACCCAAATCCCACTTCCTCACGCCCAGAGCGTTTGCATTGGGTTGTGGTTTTGGGGGCGGGTTTGTTAAGGCGGTTTAGTCCAGAGTTTTTTTGTTCACAGCTGGGGAGTGATTACAGAAAGGTATCAGGAGTTCGCTTTCGGCTGCCGCTACACCCTAAAACCCTACAGGCCCATTTTTCACAAGCCTGAACCCTATAAAGCTCGAATCATTACTGCCCATCATAAGCCTGAGCCTGAAACGCTATCGACCCCTAAACCTGAAACCCTAGACCCTGCACCCTAAACCCTACAGTAAACCGTGAACCCGAACCTCAACCCGATACGACAACCCTAAACCCAAAACCCCTAAACCCCAAACCCCTCAAGCCCTAAACCCCAAACCCTAAAGCCCCAAGCCCTGCCCTTAAAGCCTGACTGGCCCATGTTCGTCCTCGTCCTCATCCTCGCTCCGCGGCCCGGGCCTCCGCTTCAAGGGTTTATTAGGTTTAGGGTTTAGCAGTTTCTTAGTTTAGACGACCGATTCAGGTCGAGACCGATTCAGGTCTTGTAGATTAGGCTAGGGGCGACCGATTCAGGTCGAGACCGATTCAGGTCTTCTTAGTCACGGGTCATTGGCATAGGGGGTTTTACTTGGTCTAGGACGACCGATTCAGGTCGAGGCGACCGATTCAGGTCGAGACGACCGATACAGGTCGAGGGGTCATTCAGGGGGCAATGTAGGCGCTTTGGGGCAATGTAGGGGCTTTGGGTTAAGGGCAGGGATCCGGACTTTAAGGGTTTCGCCTCAATGTATAGCCCCCCCACCCCAGCCCTAAATCCGCCCGGGGCTTGGGAAGGGTATCGCCTGAATGACAAGCGTAGCTTATCCCCCTTAACCCCGAAGCCCTATCTTGACTGAGGAATCGAGGGTTGTAAACTATTTATTTATTAATTATTGTTATTATTAGACCCCTAACCCCTGAAAGCTTAAACCCCTAAACCCTAAACTCCTTAATCATAGCCCCCTGCACCTGACAGTGTTGGGGCCTCAGCTCGCACTCGCCCTCGTGGGTTTCAGGCTGCATTTACTTTAGGTTTTTTTTGGGAGGTTGACCACTGTTCATCTGAAGGCTTAAACTTAGAGCCGAATCAAATCAGGGGGTTCTTCACCCAACTACCGTCCTCGCACCAACTGAGCAACTTCGCAAACTCATGAACGATGTCACCTCCACGACGCAGGCCCGTCACCAGAGGCATATCGCAGTAAGACCTTATGCCTGACCCAGCCTGAGCCCGGGCTCGCTCCAGGTCAACAGCTGCTGCTTGCTCTGGGTTTTTGGGCTTGGCGGTCAGCGCCTTTCGGATCTGTTGCGTCGCTTTCCTTCTCCAGCCAAGCCTGACTGCGACTGCCCAGGTCAAACTGCGCGCTGCTGGGCTTGGAGCCCAAGCCTCGCATATCGCACTGCAGCTGGAAGTGTTCAGACTTTGACATCAGGTCGTGGCCATTATCAAGTTGCGACGCCGTCACCCGAAGGTGCCGCTGACACATTTGCTAAGTTGGTTTTTGCATGCCCAAGCACTGTGTCACTGTCGCTTGCAAGTCAGAAGTGCTTTGCATTGGAAGTTTGGCATGAGCTTGACGACCGTCACCGTCAGACTGGCAACTCAAGTGAGTGACACTGTCGCATGCCACGCATGATTGACCGACTTTCTAGGACTCTAGCTTCAGATTCAGGCTGCCAGGCGGTCAGTGTAGTTTAAACCGACATTTCTAGGACTCTAGCACCAAATTCAGGCTGCCAGGCGGTCAATTACGTACGACACACGAGTCACTGCAAATTCACATGGACTTAGCTTAGGCGTACAGTAAGTCTAACGCCTGCCGGCTCTCGTCTCATGGCGTCCTCATCATCGTCCTCGTCCTCGCCACTGCAGCAGGCGATGGAGCGCATCCGCGAGGTCGTGTCACAGATGGAGATCATTGTCATGGCCTGGGGAGCTGAGCAGTGGTACAACACTTACAATGGTCGCTCAGATGCATTATTAAATAGAGGATTCATCAGCGCACTTAGCACATGGCATGACAACGACAATCATCATGTCAGAGTCTTGAGTTCAGACTGAGCTGAGGCGGCTTTGTGGGGAGAGACGGAATGGCCGGGACATTGAAGGGGTGGTTCCCCCAACATTTGCACCTCACGTTCGATGTTAGAACTAAAGCTCTTTGGCCACGCGACGACGCGAGCGCCTGGGCTAACTGTAAACCCCATAAATCCCAAAACCCAAAACCCTATAAACCCTAGTCAGTCACGCGTGATTCTTGCAGCTGAGGAGATGGAGACTCCCCAGCTTCCATGCTGGCCACGGATGCGGGCCGGCGGTCGCTCAGGTTTCTCATGAGCCAGATGGTGGGCTTCGCCTTGTGCGAGTGGACTTCCGACGCTCGGATCCTTTTCCAGGTGATCTGCAGCTTGGCTTAAACGCAGGCATCCCT